CCTGCACCCCCCACAGTTTGCATATCCAACCCCCGGTTCGATGGAACGTTCGCTTTACATACATATGAGCAGTGTGGTTATAATACTTCTAATGAGATTTGAATACCGTACCTCCGTTTATGGTGTAATGAATTAATGTTGAGTGATATCGTTTATAATGAGGTGAAACGGCCTAAGTGTGTACGAATGTAGATAGTTGGTTCGTCCACCCATCGCGCCTCAAGACTTATGTCCGTCCCCACCCAGACAGCTCATCCCCATGTCCTGTACAGCCCAAGTCTGGTGTGTCCGACGTGGTGGGGCGCTCGGCAAACGGAAACTATACATTGCGACGCTTTAAAATAATAGTAGTTTAATGTTTTGTGCTATCGTTTATTATGTTACAGTTGACATGTTATAGAGTACAGGTGATCTCCAGTATACTTCGGGATTAGGGACCAGAATGCTGCGAAACGATTTATAACGGGGCCATTCGCCTCTGGGAACATGTTAATGGGGAGACAGCCAAGATGCTGCTCGTTAAGGGCAGACTTGTGTGACGGAGATTAGCGACTACTACTGAAGAATTAGCTCACACTCATTTATGATAGAATTTGTCATAATTTTGGTTGATTACGGAGAACAAGACACCTGCTATGTTGACGAATTCTTAGTACATATAGTGTACTTACCTATATTGCTAAAATATCGTTAACACTAGAATAAGCTTGCAGTTCTTAGCCATCTCATCACGTTGCTTCAAATATGCTCTAGGTTGAGTGTCCTGATGTGGTCTGAAGCATTTACTGTGATTAAATCGAAGCATTCAAAGCGGTCCACAACCCTCAATTGTGCAGCTCGGAATAATGGAGGAATTCGCATTTTTTTGGGGTTTTTTTTAACCTGAGGCCATAATTAGGAGGTACATCACAAGCGAAAGCGATAGTATTTGCCAAGAATATCTTCATTAATCGAGAACGAAAGTAGGAAGTTCAAATGGTGTCATATACCGCCTAATTTTCGAGTTGGATCTTTGGGGCTGTATAATGTGTAAAGTTGAAGGTGCTAGGTGTTGTCTTCTTCGAACAGCTACTAACGTGCGTGTGTTGTCTGTTTTTAGGATTTGTCCATTGTTGTTGTTAGCTTTGTCGTGCGCATTTCTTGTTGAGTTCTGTCACTTTAGTGTTGCAGTTTGTTAAAGAATTCGCCACGTGAGCGTGGTGTTTTGCTTAGTGGGAATTTCGCTTTGTTACAATTTGTGATTGTTATAATAATTGTAACGATTCATAAGCTCATGAGCTTATAATGTGTTTGTGCGTTTATTTATTAATGGAAAACTGTCTATTGCTCTTCGATACTATTGAGATGGAACATTCATCCAGCAGTGAAAATCGTGATTCTATAACGACCGTAGTGTAATTGTAATTGTTTTAATCCGATCCTTGCACGTACACTATACATACATATGAGCAAAGTGCTATTCTAATAAGACCACACTGTGATTCTACTGCTTATAATGAGATTCTAATACCTTACCTCCGTTTATATGGTTATAAATTAAAACACTAGTTTATAATCATTTAATGTTTAGTGTTATCGTTTATAGTGTTACAGTTTACATGTTATAGAGTACAGTTTATCCCCGACATACTTCGGGATTAGGGACTGGTACGTTGATGAACGATTAACCACGGGGACCTTTCCCCTCAAGGAACACGTGTTAATCGGGTAGACAGCCAAGATGCTGCCACACTTGTGTGACGGAGATCCTCCACCTGAAACTCGCTTAACATGTTTTTGCTAGGAACATTATAAAATAAAGACCGTACAAACATTTGTTAAAAATACATTTTTATTCATCTGCAATCATTTTTACGTCAAAACTCGAAGGGAATATGTATTATGTTCTATGTTCACACATTTCCAGTACAATGCAAACCATTTCCGTTCTAGGAATACCAAAGCGTTAAAGTTTCATTCCCCATGATTTCCTTATTAGTTCACCACATTTGTTCACTGTGCGTCTATGTTGAAGTCAAGGCCATATATCCAACGAACGCGTCATCAATGTACATCCTGAAATCAGCTATCTAAAACCAATCAAAAAAGCCATGTTGAGTAAAGATGTATCTACAGACGCATTCCAACTTTAGCTCAACAGGAACACTTAACGACTACAATTGAACCCTCTCACAACCAGAGCTCATCACACCACTTCGGCAAGTAATCCGATAACATTACAAACCACCACTGTGCACGTCATTCAACTCTCACAAAAACTGTAAAACTAAAATGGTCAAAATTACACACAAAAGTACTCGATACGGCTTAATAGGTATAACCACATGACGTAATATTTTTTTCAGTCACCCCGAGCTCTCTGGTTGACTCTCGAGCCACTCCATTACATCCAGCCATCTCTCGGGATCCAACTGCATGGGATCGAAGGTGGAATTATCTTCAGGACTCATTGCAGCACCTTGAACTTCAGCTTTTGATTTCAGTTTCCTATCATTGTGGACCTTCTGATGCTTGTTCATGGTTGATGACCGTGCAAATGCCTTCCCACACACAGAGCACGGGAATGGCTTCTGGCCCGTGTGTGTTTTCTCATGAGCTTGAAGATTTGATGGGTGTGAAAATGTCTTCCCACACACAGAGCACAGGAATGGCTTCTCGCCCGTGTGTGTTTTCTCATGAGCTTGAAGATTTGATGATTGTGCAAATGTCTTCCCACACACAGGGCACAAGAACGGATTCTCACCGGTGTGTGTTCTCTGGTGAGTTTGAAGAGTTGATGAGTGTGCAAATGTCTTCCCACACACAGGGCACAAGAACGTCTTCTCATCCGTGTGTGTTCTCTGATGGTTTTGAAGAGTTGACGAGTGTGCAAATGCCTCCCCACACACAGAGCACAGGAATGGCTTCTCGTCCGTGTGTGTTCTATGATGACTCTGAAGATGTGATGACTGTGCAAATGTCTTCCCACACACAGAATACAGGAACGGCTTCTCGCCCGTGTGTGTTCTCTGGTGTCTCTTAAGATGTGATGGCCGTGAAAAGGACTTCTCACACACAGAGCAATTGAAGGACTTCTTGCCTCCGTGGACGTGGGACTGTGGAGAGCGTCTCTGCTCCATGTGAGTGTAATAACAGCAGCGGTGTTATTGAGTCAAAAGTACGCTATCGGCCGCAAGGATGTTTAGCGTTGAGTTTTGGATTTTGTTAACTGCTAAAACAAGAACGACACTCTAACCGAGACGCAAAAAAATCCCGCTAATTTGACGACGAACACGTTTATCCGCGACAATAGACACTTACTTGGAGATTCACGGTATATCGATGTCTGTAACCCGTCTGAAGATGTCGCCACGAACTCTCCCGACGCAAAGTCGCCTAACTGTCGACACAGCAATTGTGCTCGCCAGGCTGCGTTGTCTCGCGGTTGAAGGGCGATCAGCAGAGCGACGAGTCGAGCGTCCAACCTCATCAAGTTCCCTCTCGAAATGGCATTGAGCTCTGCTTCTGAGCCGCCTTATAACTCCCCCCCTAGGATCCAATCCTTTGTCTTTCAGGATATTTGCATTCGATTGTTAATTTTGGAAGGTACAATCCGCATGTCTATTAACATACCGAAGGGTAATGTGCCCATTGTGCTTCATGCATGAATATGTAAGTGCATCTCAGTGTGTAATTGTGCGCTTATTTTGAATAAATGGAAAAACTTTGTCCTCGATTTAAAGTGAATGCAGAGAAATTAGCATGTAACTTTAGAAAAGGAAGAGAGCGGCCTTCTCGACGAGGGAGTGAAACCCAATAGGTAATATTATTTTACAGCGTTACAATGGTTCATAGGTTATACTATTATGTTTCACTATGATAGAGCTTAACATGTGAGAGTATACAATATCAGAGTTGATCAAATGCGAGCAGGCTACCTTGAGAGCGATCGCGAATGGGTTGCGTGTCTGGAAGAAGCCTCGCTCTTTCAGATGCCGTACCAGCTTCGTCAACTCTTCGCTACCATTCTGCTGTATTCCATGCCTGCAGATACGAAGGCTCTCTGGGATAAATTCTACGACGAATTGGCTCGCGATTACGAGTACCAGTACCGCCAGCTGACCAACAAAGAAGAAATGCTAAATCTTATTGGTTCTTTCGGTAAAGTCACGTAGAAGGGAGGTAATCAAATATAAAAATAAAACATAATAAAATAATTCTCACGACGTTTCGGCCACAACTCAAGCAGCCGTCCTCAGGTCAAAACCAGGTCTGTCCAGGCGACAGCTTCTGAATGAAACAGCACACGTGCTTGGAGCATATATATAAGCTGGGTTGGAAGGGGGGGAAAGGGCGCCTTGACAAAATAATTTGCATATCAAGAGGAATTTTGCATATGTATGGGAAATGCAGGTATGTGATTAGTACTACTTATACCCGTACATTATGCAGGATTAGCAGCATCAAAGAAAAAAAAAATGGTAAAGTTCAAGACCCTTCACAGCCTCCACGAGTTCCTCGCGGCAGGTGGGATGGCTCTGTCGGACTTTTACGACCTCCCGCAGCTTTCCGAGTACCCACACTTGGTCTTGGACTCGCTGCTTGAGAACAACCATATCTGCCGCGAATTGGAAGGATATGATAGAAACGGGCTACAAGACATCGTAGAACGTGCTGACAGACTCAACACGAACCAGAGAGAAATCTACGACGAAATTGTTGGCTCAGTCGAAGACAGTCAACCCGATCAAAAGCTGTTCTTCATCGATGGTCCGGGCGGCACGGGGAAGTCCACGCTGCTCAAACATGTGCTGCCGAAGATACGTCTTCAAGGCAAGATTGCGATTGCTGTTGCTTCCAGCGGCATTGCCTCGCTGCTGCTTCCAGGCGGCCGTACCGCACATTCCACGTTCAAAATCCCGTTAAAACCGACGAACATCTCCACATGCTTTATTCGCAAACAGTCCAAGCTCAAAACATTTATCAAGGAGGCAAGTCTTATCGTTTGGGATGAAGCCCCAATGACGAACCGGTTTGCGTTTGAAGCGGTGGATCGCACGCTTCGCGATATTTTGGACAATCTGCATGAACCGTTTGGAGGCAAAGTGGTTGTCCTGTCCGGTGACTTTCGACAGATTCTGCCAGTTGTGAAGAAAGGAACACCAGCTGATATTGTGGATGCGTGTTTCAAGTCGTCCGACCTGTGGTCCCACTTCAAGCAAGTTCATCTGACTGTGAACATGAGAGTCCAGTGTGCAGAGAACCAAGAATCCGCCGCAGAACTGGCTGCCTTTTCAGAATTTATTTTGGAAGTCGGAGAGGGTAGGCATGAAGTTGATCCTGACCTCGGTCCGGATTGCATCAAGATTCCGCGTGTCATGGTGATCGACAATCCTCAATACGACCCAGACATCCACGGAGATGAGGACGGCAATCATCTGCCCGTTCCACTCGGGTTGAAGAAGATTGTCGATGCCATGTACAGTGCAGATGAAGTGAATTACCCTACGGTGGCAACGAACGACTACTTCGCTCGCCGCACTATTCTGACGCCGACCAACGCCGCTGTGCAGCGAGTGAATGAGGCTGTCGCGGATCGCCTCAGAGAAGCTCCACAAGTGTACCTGTCTACAGATTCGGTTGAGGACGACGAGAGAGCAGGGTCAGCATTCTTTGAGACAGAGCTCCTCAACTCGGTGAACATCAACGGGGTTCCGCCACACAAGTTGATCCTCAACAAAGGCATCCCAGTGATGATGATGCGCAACTTGAACCCGGACGCTGGCCTGTGCAACGGAACACGGCTTTGCATCGTGGAAATGAAGCCACCCGTCATTCACGCGACTATCATGACAGGAACCCATAACGGTAAGAAGGTGGTGATCCCTCGGATCATCTTCATCAGCGACGACGACACGAAGGACTTCCCATTTCGACTTCGGCGCAAGCAGTTCCCCATTGTCCCAGCCTTCGCGATGACTATCAACAAGGCGCAAGGGCAAACTGTTCACAACCTGGGATTATATCTACCAACGCCATGCTTCTTGCACGGCCAACTGTACGTGGCACTATCGCGAGTCACGGCAAGATCCAACATCAAGGCACCTATTGAGGGACCTGACGACGAGGAGGAAGACGGAGTGTACACGAAGAATATCGTGTATCGCCAGATATTTGAATAAGTTGCATTCTATATTTCAATAACTTGCATTCTTGAATATTGTCGATTGAGCGTCTCATAAAAATACATATAATCTCACAAAAATAAACATTGAACAATCACCAAAACATGTCTATTGTGTCCAGCCACTTTCAACTCCCCACCAACCAAGCATACACACACCGCCCGCGAAGCGGGCGGCGACTGCTAGTATATATAGATACTGAATATTGCTATGTGATGCCATTGAGATGGAACATTCATCCAATAGTGGACAGCTTGATCCTAATAGCACCAAAGTGTTATTCAAATAATTTTAATCCCATCCTGATCCTGCACCTTCCGTTTCACATATCACACCCTTGGTTCGCACGTCCATATTACATATATACATGTTACATGCATGCATGTAACATGTTACATACATACATGTTACATGCATACATGTTACATGCACATATACTGACTACAAACAGACATGTTACATACATACATGTTACATACTTACGACCGTAGTGGGATTCGAAGAGGACCACGGAGTGACTCGAATAATTCGAATGCGATTCGAATATCACACTTCAAGGTAGGTTGTTCTAATCTATAGCCCTAGTTAATAATGTTATTGTATAGCGTTATAATGTATAGCTCATAGGTTATATTGTTAGAGTTCACAACATTAGATTTTACTATAAAAGTAGTTTACAGTGTTATTGGTATAGCGTTACAATGTATAGCTATAACAGTTATAATGTTAGAGTTTATAATGTTAGAGCTTACAGTGTGAGTTTATAATGTGAGAGTTTTTGGCCATGCCCTGTCCTCGTGGGACCCCACACGGAGTTTACTATAATACAAGTTTACAGTAATTTGTAGATTCTTCAAATGTATATGTGAATGTTTTTAAGTTACCATTGTTGAAGTTCATAATGTTAAAGTTCACAGTGTGAGAATTTACAATGTGAGAGTATATCCAAGACGTCGATCGATGGCGTTGGTCTGATAGGTTGGTGTCACGGGACACCAACATGCTGCCGATATAACAGTAACAAAAGCAACTACAGCAGCTACGAAACCATTCGATGGCAAAGCAGCGACTTCTTCTTCAATCTGAGAGTTTGTGGCCGTGCCCTGTTCTCGTGGGACCCGACACGGATTTGGAAATAATTGCTATGATCATGTCTGAGCTGAGATGAGCGACTAATGTTTACTTTGTTTAATCATAACTGTGTGTATGTTAGTGCCATCGGGGCTTAGTGAATACTACTCATGAACAAGTCGCCTGCCTTTGCTTATATACACAGCATAGGGAAGGCTGCCTTGTTGGGGAGATGTAGTTTGGGTAAGGCGCTGTCCACTATTGGATGAATGTTCCATTCATCCGGAGCCATGGGCGGAGCAGCTTGGATTTTCCCGGTGGCACCTGTGGGCAATACAACCATGCCCTGTCCCCCACTGCCCATGGAAGCACGTGTTCCCGCTGCCCCGAGTTATTTTCATTAGCGGATTGCGCTCTGGTGGGGAAAGGTCCTCGTTATGAATCGTTTCGCAACGTTCAGGTCCAGAATACCGAAGTATACCGGGAATCACCTGCACTTAAAAACATGTAAACTGATAACACTATAAACAATAACACTAAACATTAAACGACAAAAAAAGATATCAACTGGTTTTATAATTTATAGCACCATAAACGGAGGTAGAGTATTTAAATCTCATTAGAAGTATTAAAATCGCACTCTACACATATGTATGTAAATTATCTGTTCAATCGAACCGGGGGTCGGATATGTGAACTGTGGGGGGTGGGGGGGGGGGGTACAAGGCAAGAATCGCATTCAAATTTTACATTAACAATATGGTCGTATTAGCATTTTAATGGGTTTTAATGTATGTTACGTGCAAATGTAAATCGTTAGTCGTAAATGCGAGGGAGGGGTTAAGAGGTGCACGTTTAATCCAGTGTTAACATTTATTTTAGCATCATATTTGAGGACACTGTTGTTGATAAGAATTCGTCTGGACATGGAACGTGCCTTGTTCTCGATCAACCAAAATTAGTACAATGTCAGTCATACAGCAGTGCGAGTTCATTCATGAGTAGTATTTACAGAGCCCCGATGACACTAACCTGCCTAAAGTTATGGTTAAACAAAGTAATCTTGAGTGACTTAATTCTCAGCTCAGACATGATCATCGCAATCATTTCCAAAGACGTGTGGGGTCCTGCGAGAGCAGGTCCTGACTCCAAACAGCTGGGCAGCAGAATCGGAAGTAGCTGCGTCGCCCTCGAAATGTGATGTTGCTGCTGTTGTTGTCGCTGCTGTTGTTGCTGCTGTAGTTGCTTCTGTTGCTGTGATAAACGCAGGGAGGTGGTGTTCCGTGATGGGATGACGCCTTTGATTAAAGCCTCTGATCAAACTCACCCGATTGACGCCCTTGATCGTCGCGTTTGATCAACTCTGATATTGTAGACTCTCACATGTTAAGCTCTATCATAGTGAAACGTAATATTATAACCTATGAACTACAACTTATCCATTGTAACGCTATTGGGTTTCACTCCCTCGTCGAGAAGGCCGCTCTCTTCCTTTTCTAAAGTTATATGCTAATTTCTCTGCATTCATTTTAAATCGAGGACAATGTTTTTCCATTTATTCAAAATAAGCGCACAATTACACACTGAGATGCACTTACATATTCATGCATGAAGCACAATGGGCACATTACCTTTCGGTATGTTAATAGACATGCGGATTGTACCTTCCAAAATTTACAATCGATTGTAAATATCCTGAAAGACAAAGGATTGGATCCTAGGGGGGGTAGTTATAAGGCTGCTCAGAAGCAGAGCTCAATGCCATTTCGAGAGAGAACTTGATGAGGTTGGACGCTCGACTCGTCGCTCTGCTGATCGCCCTTCAACCGCGAGACAACGCAGCCTGGCGAGCACAATTGCTGCGTCGACAGTTAGGCGACTTTGCGTCGGGAAAGTTCGTGGCGACATCTTCAGACGGGTTCCAGACATCGATATACCGTGAATCTCCAAGTAAGTGTCTATTTTCGCGGATAAACTCTTAAACGTGTTCGTCGTTAAATTAGCGGGATTTTTTTGCGTCTCGGTTAGACGCGAGTGTCGTTCTTGTTTTAGCAGTTAACAAAATCCAAAATTCAACGCTAAACATCCTTTCGGCCGATAGCATACTTTTGACTCGATAACACCGCTGCTGTTACGACGCTCACATGGAGCAGAGACGCTCTCCACAGCCCCACGCACACGGAGGCAAGAAGCCATTCAATTGCTCTGTGTATGGGAAGGCATTTTCACGACCATCACATCTTAAGAGACACCAGAGAACACACACGGGCGAGAAGCCATTCCTGTGCCCTGTGTGTGGGAAGACATTTGCACACTCGTCACATCTTCAGAGTCAACAGAGAACACACACTGGTGAGAAGCCATTCCCATGCTCTGTGTGTGGGAAGACATTTGGAAACTCATCAAATCTTCAGAGTCATCAGAGAACACACACGGGCGAGAAGCCATTCCTTTGCTCTGTGTGTGGGAAGACATTTGCACAGTCATCAACCATGAACAGGCATCAGAAGGTCCACAATGATAGGAAACTGAAATCAAAAGCTGAAATTCAAGGTGCTGCAATGAGTCCTGAAGAAGTTTCCACCTTCGATCCCATGCAGTTGGATCCCGAGAGATAGCTGGATGTAATGGAGTGGCTCGAGAGTCAACCAGAGAGCTCGGGGTGACTGAAAAAAATATTATGTCATGTGGTTATACCTATTAAGCCGTATCGAGTACTTTTATGTATAATTTTGACTATTTTAGTTTTACAGTTTTTGAGAGTTTAATGACGTGCCCAGTGGTGGTTTGTAATGTTATCGGATTACTTGCCGAAGTGGTGTGATGAGCACTGGTTGTGAGACTGTTCAATTGTAGTCGTTATATGTTCCTTTTGAGCTAAAGTTGGAATGCGTCTGTAGGTACATCTTTACTCAACATTTTAAACGATTTTTGTCAAGTATATAGCTTTTTTTGATTGGTATTAATCGACTATAGATAGCCGATATCAGGATGTACATTGATAACGCGATTGTTGGATATATGACCTTGACTTCAACATGGACTCACAGCGAACAAATGTGGTAAATTAATAAGGAAATCATGGGGAATGAAACTTTAACGCTTTAGTATTCCTGGAACAGAAATGGTTTGCATTGTACTGGAAATGTGTGAACATAGGACATAATAAATATTCCCTTCGAGTTTTGACGTAAAATTATTGAAGATGAATAACAAATGTTTGTCAGTTCTTTATTTTGTAATGTTCCTAGCAAAAAAATGTGTGCTCTTAACTGGCAGCATCTTGGCTGTCTACCCGATTAACACGTGTTCCTTGAGGAGAAAGGTCCCCGTAGTTAATCTTTCATCGACGTACCAGTCCCTAATTCCGAAGTATGTCGGGGATAAACTCTTATAACATGTAAACTGTAATACTATAAACGATAACACTGAACATTAAACGATTATAAACTAGTGTTTTAATGTATAACCATTTTAACTGAGGTAAGGTATTATAATATCATTAGAATCACAGTGTGATCGTATTAGAATCACGCACAAACCCATTCTTAACTCATGAGATTATGAATCTTTACAATTTTATAACAATCACAAATTGTAACAAAGCGAAATTCCCACAAGCAAAACACCACGCTCACGTGACGAATTCTTAAACAAACTGCAACACTCAAGTGACAAAATTCAACAAAAAAAGGCCGCAATAAAAAGAAAAACATCAATGGACAAATCCAAAAAACAGTCAATACACACACGTTAGTAGCTGTTAGAAGAAGACAACACCTAGCACCTTCAACTATACACATCATACAGCCAACTCGTAAATGGGGCGGTATATGACAGCCTTCGCTGCTGTCGACGGGGCCAAGCAGCGAGTGTTTAACTCCATTGTTTCAGAATCCGTGTCATCACCCGGCCACAGCGCCTTAGCCAAACTACATCTCCCGAACCAGGCAGCCTTCTCTATGCTGTGTATTTTAGCAGTTTATTTTCGGACGCACTTGAAGATAACAATTCGTCTAGAAAAGGCAGGCGACTTGTTCTACCAACACGATTTCAAATTTCTATCCGAAAGAAGTATGAGTTCATTCATGAGTAGTATTCACTAAGCCCCGATAGCACTAACCTACACACAGTTATGATTAAACAAAGTAAACATTAGTCGCTCATCTCAGCTCAGACATGATCATAGCAATTATTTCCAAATCCGTGTCGGGTCCCACGAGAACAGGTCACGTCCCCAAACTCTCAAAGTGTAAACTCACATTGCATACTCTAACATTATAAACTCTAACAATATAACCTTCAAACTATGAGCTATACATTGTAACTCTTTAAAATAACACTACAAACTAGTGTTATAGTAAACTATAATCTTGTAAACTCTAACAATATAAGCTATGAGCGATACATTATAACGCTATAAAATAACATCATAAACTAGTGTTACAGATTAGAACACCGTACATTGAAGTGTGATATTCGATTCTCATTCGAATTCGTAGCTTCACACCGTGGTCCTCTAAGAATCACACTTTGCTCGTGAGTATGTAACATGTCTGTATGTAACATGTAACATGTATGTATGTAATATGGACGTGCGAACCAAGGGTGGGATATGTGAAGCGGAAGGTGCAGGATCAGGATGGGATTAAAATTATTTGAATAACACTTTGGAGGTATTAGGATCAAGCTGTCTACTATTGGATGAATGTTACATCTCAATGGCATCAGATAGCAATATTCAGTATGAATATGTAAAATAATCGCACAAACCCAATATTAGCCCGTGAAATAATGAATCGTTACAATTGTAATGACCCCGGACTCAGACTGCAGAGGGTTCTTTTATTTCGCCATTAACGCGGTTTCAGATCCCAGGCGTCACGATATAGCAACGACGACGACGAGACAGCAACCAGCCAACACAGCCCCAAACCTCGTTCCTCCCCCTCTCTCATTCTCGGCGTGAACCTCCGCCCACACTTGGTCTCGCCTTCCCTTCTCGAACTCTCTCTATCTTGTTGTCACCACTTGTCCCTTAGTTGATGCACTGTCTTTACATCACCCACCTCTATGACCTCTACCTGACCCCGCCATGGGCGGAGCAACTTGGGGGACATACCCGGTGGCACCTGTGGGCAATACAACCATGCCCTGTCCCCCACTGCCCATGGAAGCACGTGTTCCCGCTGCCCCGAGTTCTTTTAATTAGCGGATTGCGCTCTGGTGGGGAAAGGTCCTCGTTATGAATCGTTTCGCAACGTTCAGGTCCAGAATACCGAAGTATACCGGGAATCACCTGTACTTAAAAAACACGTAAATTGATAACACTATAAACAATAACACTAAACATTAAACGACAAAAAAATTATCAACTGGTTTTATAATTTATAGCACCATAAACGGAGGTACGGTATTTAAATCTCATTAGAAGTATTAAAATCGCAATCTATACATATGTATGTAAATTATCTGTTCAATCGAACTGGGGGTCGGATATGTGAACTGTGGGGGGTACAGGGCAAGAATCAAATTTTAGAATAACAATATGTCGTATTAGCATTTACTGTGTTTGAATGTATGTTATGTGCAAATGCAAATCGTTAGTCGTAAATGCGAGGTAGGGGTTAAGAGGTGCACGTTTAATCCAGTGTTAACATTTATTTTAGCATCATATTTAAGGACACTGTTGTTGATAAGAATTCATCTGGACGTGGAACGTGCCTTGTTCTACTCGATCAACCAAAATTAGTACAATGTCGGTCATACAGGAGTGTGATTTCATTTATGAGTAGTAATCACAGAGCCCCGAGGACACTAACCTACCTAAAGTTATGGTTAAACAAAGTAATCTTGAGTGACTTAATTCTCAGCTCAGACATGATCATCGCAATCATTTCCAAAGACGTGTGGGGTCCTGCGAGAGCAGGTCCCGACTACAAACAGCTGGGCAGCAGAATCGGAAGTAGCTGCGTCGCCCTCGAAATGTGATGTTGCTGCTGTTGTTGTCGCTGCTGCTGTTGTTGCTGCTGTAGTTGCTTCTGTTCCTGTGATAAACGCAGGGAGGAGGTGTTCCGTGATGGGATGACGCCTTTGATTAAAGCCTCTGATCAAACTCACCCGATTGACGCCCTTGATCGTCGCATTTGATCAACTCTGATATTGTATACTCTCGCATCTTAAGCTCTATCATAGTGAAACATAATATTATAACCTATGAACTACAACCTATCCATTGTAACGCTATTGGATTTCACTTCCTCGTCGAGAAGGCCGCTCTCTTCCTTTTCTAAAGTTATATGCTAATTTCTCTGCATTCACTTTGAATCGAGGACAATGTTTTTCCATTAATTCAAAATAAGCGCACAATTACACACTGAGATGCACTTACATATTCATGCATGAAGCACAATGGGCACATTACTCTTCGGTATGTTAATAGACATGCGGATTGTACCTTCCAAAATTAGCAATCGAATGCAAATATCCTGAAAGACAAAGGATTGGATCCTAGGGGGGGAGTTATAAGGAAGCTCAGAAGCAGAGCTCAATGCCATTTCGAGAGGGAACTTGATGAGGTTGGACGCTCGACTCGTCGCTCTGCTGATCGCCCTTCAACCGCGAGACAACGCAGCCTGGCGAGCACAATTGCTGTGTCGACAGTTAGGCGACTTTGCGTCGGGAGAGATCGTGGCGACATCTTCAGACGAGTTCTAGACATCCATATACCGTGAATCTCCAAGTAAGTGTCTATTATCGCGGATAAACTCTTAAACGTGTTTTGTCGTCATATTTACGGGATTTTTTTGCGTCTCGGTTAGACGCGAGTGTCGTTCTTGTTTTAGCAGTTAACGAAATCCAAAACTAAACGCTAAACATCCTTTCGGCCGATAGCGTATTTTTGATTCGATAACACCGCTGCTGTTACTACGCTCAAATGGAGCAGAGACGCTCTCCACAGCCCCACGCACACGGAGACAAGAAGCCATTCAATTGCTCTGTGTGTGGGAAGGCATTTTCATGGTCATCAAGTCTTAAGAGACACCAGAAAACACACACGGGTGAGAAGCCAATCCTGTGCTCTGTGTGTGGGAAAACATTTGCACACTCATCACATCTTCAGAGTCATCAGATAACACACACGGGCGAGAAGCCATTCCTGTGCCCTGTGTGTGGGAAGGCATTTGCACAGTCGTCAACTCTTCAAAACCATCAGAGAACACACACGGGCGATAAGCCATTCCTGTGCCCTGCGTGTGGGAAGGCATTTTCACAGTCGTCAACTCTTAACAGGCATCAGAAGGTCCACAATGATAGGAAACTGAAATCAAAAGCTGAAATTCAAGGTGCTGCAATGAGTCCTCAAGAAGTTTCCACCTTCGATCCCATGCAGTTGGATCCCGAGAGATGGCTGGATGTAATGGAGTGGCTCGAGGATCAAACCGAGAGCTCGGGGTGACTGAAAAAATATTACGTCATGTGGTTATACCTATTAAGCCGTATCGAGTACTTTTGTGTGTAATTTTGACCATTTTAGTTTTATAGTTTTTTTAAGAGTTTAATGACGTGCACAGTGGTGGTTTGTAATGTTATCGGGTTACTTGCCGAAGTGGTGTGATGAGCACTGGTTGTGAGAGGGTTCAATTGTAGTCGTTAAGTGTCCCTGTTGAGCTAAAGTTGGAATGCGTCTGTAGGTACATCTTTACTCAACATTTTAAACTATTTTTTTTCAAGTATATAGCGGTTTTCGATTGGTATTAATCGACTTTAGATAGCTGATTTCAGGATGTACATTGATGACGCGATCGTTGGATATATGGCCTTGACTTCAACATGGACGCACAGTGAACAAATGTGGTGAATTAATAAGGAAATCAATGATACTTTAACGTTTTGGTATTCCTGGAACGGAAATGGTTTGCATGGTACTGGAAATGTGTGAACATAGGACGTAATAAATATTCCCTTCGAGTTTTGATGTAAAATTATTGCAGATGAATAAAAACGTATTTTTAACAAATGTTTGTCCATTCTTGATTTTATCATGTTCCTAGCAAAAACATGTTAAGATAATTTCAGGTGTAGGATCTCCGTCACACAAGTGTGCCCTTAACCGGCAGCATCTTGGCTGTCTACCCGATTAACACGTGTTCCTTGAGGGGAAAGGTCCCCGTAGTTAATCCTTCATCAACGTACCAGTCCCTAATCCCTAAGTATGTCGGGGATAAACTGTACTCTATAACATGTAAACTGTAATACTATAAACTATAACACTAAACATTGAACGATTATTAACTAGTGTTTTAATTTATAACCATATAAACAGAGGTAAGGTATTATAATATCATTAGAAGCATTAGAATCACAGTGTGATCGTATAAGAATCACGCACAAACCCATTCTTAACTGATGAGATTATGAATCGTTACAATTATTATAACAATCGCAATTTGTGACAAAGCGAAATTCCCACAAGCAAAACACCACGCTCACGTGACGAATTCTTAAACAAACTGCAACACTCAAGTGACAGAACTCAACAAAAAAACGCCGCAATAAAAAGAACTACATCAATGGGCAAATCATAAATACAGACAACACACGCACGTTAGTAGCTGTTAGAAGAAGACAACACTTAACACCTTCAACTATACACATCGTACAGCCAACTCGTAAATGGGGCGGTATATGACAGCCTTCGCTGCTGTCGACGGGGCCAAGCAGCGAGTGTTTAACTCCATTGTTTCAGAATCCGTGTCATCACCCGGCCACAGCGACTTAGCCAAACTACATCTCCCGAACAAGGCTGCCTTCCCTATGCTGTGTATTTCAGCAGTATATTTACGGGCGCACTTGAAGATAACAATTCGTCTCGAAAAGGAAAGCGAATTGTTCTACCAAAACGATTTCAAATTTCTATCCGAAAGAAGAATGAGTTCATTCATGAGTAGTATTCACTAAGCACCGATGGCACTAACCTACGCACAGTTATGATTAAACAAAGTAAACATTAGTCGCTCATCTCAGCTCAGACATGATCATAGCAATTATTTCCAAATCCGTGTCGGGTCCCACGAGAACAGGGCACGGCCACAAACTCTCACATTGAAGAAGTCGCTGCTTTGCCATCGAATGGTTTCGTAGCTGCTGTAGTTGCTTCTGTTACTGTTATATCGGCAGCATGTTGGTGTCCCGTTATGGGATAACGTCTTTGATCAAAAACTATGATCGAACCTACCAGACCAACGCCATCGATCGACGTCTTGGATATACTCTCACATTGTAAACTCTGACATTGTAAATTCTCACACTGTGAACTTTAACATTATGAACTTCAACAATGGTAATTTAAAAACATTCACATATACATTTGAAGAATCTACAAATTATTGTAAACTAGTATATGAACTCTAACAATATAACCTATGAGCTATACATTATAACGCTATACAATAACATTATTAACTAGTGCTATAGATTAGAACAACCTACCTTGAAGTGTGATATTCGAAATCGCATTCGAATTATTCGAATCACTCCGTGGTCCTCTTCGAATCACACTACGGTCGTAAGTATGTAACATGTATGTATGTAACATATCTGTTTGTAGTAAGTATATGTGCATGTAACATGTATGTATGTAACATATCTGTTTGTAGTAAGTATATGTGCATGTAACATGTATGTATGTAACATGCATGTATGTATGTAACATGGTACATGCATGCATGTAACATGTATGTATGTATGTAACATGTATGTAATATAGACGTGCGAACCAAGGGTGGAATATGTAAAACGGAAGGTGCAGGATCAGGATGGGATTAAAATTATTTGAATAACACTTTGGTGGTATTAGGATCAAGCTGTCCACTATTGGATGAATGTTCCATCTCAATGGCATCACATAGCAATATTCAGTATGTATATATAAAATAATCGTACAAACTCAACATAAGCCCGTGCAATAATGAATCGTTACAATTGTAATGACTCGTTTCATAAAAGTATTTGATCAAAGTTTGTTATCCCATCACGGAACACCACTGGAACTGAAGAATATTAAGCAACAACAGCAACTGCAGCAGCAGCAACAGCAGCAGCAACAGCAGCAGCAACAGCAGCAGCATCACCTTCGGAGATGCTGCGTCCCGCGGCACCATCCTGGCGAGGAAAGGAAGAGCAGAGCCCGAATCGACGGCCGCCACCCGAACATCGGCAGCTGTAGATAGACGTGCGAACCAATGGTGGGATATGTGAAACGGAAGGTGCAGGATCAGGATGGGATTAAAATTATTTGAATAACACTTTGGTAGTATTAGGATCAAGCTGTCTACTATTGGATGAATGTTCCATCTCAATGGCATCAAATAGCAATATTCAGTATGAGTATGTAAAATAATCGCACAAACGCAATATTAGCCAGTGAAATAATGAATCGTTACAATTGTAATGACTCCAGACTCAGACTGCAGAGGGTTCTTTTATTTAGCCTTTAACGCGGTTTCAGACCCCAGGCGTCACGATATAGCAACGACGACGACGAGACAGCAACCAGCCAACACAGCCCCAAACCTCGTTCCTCCCCCTCTCTCATTCTCGGCGTGAACCTCCGCCCACACTTGGTCTCGCCTTCCCTTCTCGAACTCTCTCTATCTTGTTGTCACCACTTGCCCCTTAGTTGACGCACTGTCTTTACATCACCCACCTCTATAACCTCTACCTGACCCCGCCATGGGCAAAAGCAACTTGGGGGACATACCCGGTGGCACCTGTAGGCAATACAACCATGCCCTGACCCCCACCGCCCATGGAAGCACGTGTTCCCGCCGCCCCGTGATCTTTTCATTAGCGGATTGCGCTCTGGTGGGGAAAGGTCCTCGTTATGAATCGTTTCGCAACGTTCAGGTCCAGAATACCGAAGTATACCGGGAATCACCTGTACTTAAAAACATGTAAACTGATAACACTATAAACAATAACACTAAACATTAAACGACAAAAAATTATCAACTGGTTTTATAATTTATAGCACCATAAACGGAGGTACGGTATTTAAATCTCATTAGAAGTATTACAATCGCACTCTACACATATGTATGTAAATTATCTGTTCAATCGAACCGGGGGTCGGATATGTGAACCTTGGGGGGTACAGGGCAAGAATCGCATTCAAATTTTACGTAACAATATGGTCGTATTAGCATTTTACTGTGCAGCAGACATCGCGGATATCGCGATTTTCACCTGAAGACGTGCGCTTGTGTTTCGTCCGAAACGTGATTTACTTTCTTTTATTTCTACCTACGTGACTTTACCGAAAGAACCAACGAAAGCTTCAAATCAATATTAGAATATCATTAGAAGTATTATAATCGCAATGTGATCGTATTAGAATCACACTGCACATATGTATGCATATTACATACATACATACTATGGTCGTATGTATGTATGTATGTAATATGTATGTCCGTTGGACATGCGAACCGGGGGTCGGATATGCGAACTGGGGGATTAGAATCGGATTAAAATGATTAGAATAACACTATGGTGGTATTAGAATTACACTGAGCTAGAATGTATGTTATATGTAGATGCATATCGGGAGTCGTAAATGCAAAATGGGAGGTGCGCGGTTTTGATCGCATTAAAATTATGATAATAACAACGTGGTCCTATAAGAATCGCGCTATCGACTGCTGCTGATGTTCGGGTGGCGGCTTCCGATTCGGGCTCAGCTCTTCCTTTACTCGCCTGGTTGGTGCCGCGGGACGCAGCGTCTCATCCGACAGGCGTAGTCTGCTTTGAACAGCCAAATGTTATCACAGTAAACAATTCAGACCACAGCAGGACACTCAATCTCGAGCATCTGCGAAGCAACGATATGAGAGGGCTAAAACCTGCAAGTTTATTCGAGTGTTGACGTTATTTTAGCAATATTGTTAAGTACACTATGTATGATAAGAATTCGTAGACATGGCCTGTGTCTTGTTCTCCTTAATCAACCAAAATTATGACAAATTACGTCATAAATGAGTGTGAGCTATTTCTTCGGTAGTATTCGCTACACACCGATTGCACTAACCTACACTAATTTATGTTTAAACGAAGTCAACTTTAGTCGCTCAAATGTCAGCTTAATTAGGATCATCGCAATTGTTTCCATAGACGTGTGGGGTCCCACGAGAGCAGAGTCGGCGTGCAAACAGCCCGGCGGCAGTTGGAGCAGAAGCAGAAGTCGCTGCTTTGTCATCGAACGGTTTCGTAGCTGCTGTAGTTGCTTCTGTTACTGTTATATAC